TATAATTAAACTGAATTTATTATTGTATTGTATTAATTAATAGAATTATTTAAACAAAAATAATAATAATATGTATTGTTTAATATCTTCATGTCTCTTTTCGGTCTTCAATTATTGATTGTTTTTGGGTGTCAAATTTAATAAAAATCACAGGATAATTAACTTCTAAAAGAAAATCTTGGGTTCAATTTTTAAGATTTGTGATATAAATTAGCGAATTTAAATTCGACCGCAAAAAGGAAGATTCTCTACAAAAGTTTTTGATAGCAAAGGGCATTGAGAAAAAAACTTATATATATTTAGGCCACGCGCATTAGCATTTTGGTTCACGTCACCCGGCCGGGTCACCTTTTAAATTTTGACCAAAAAAAAAGTGTAAAGATTTTATCTCAAGACTTCGAAATATAATACTGTTGTGTTCAAGTCTTTCGTTAATGTATTTATATACAATTTTAAATGTAATCAGAAGGTTTTTTATTAATAAGCAATCGAAGAATTATGATGTAAATGTTATTCAATAAAATTAATTATTTAGTATTGTCTCAACATTGACGCTCTTTAACTCAAATAAATGCTAATCACTATACGCTAATTAATTAAAACTACGCAAAATAATAATCGGATATATATAATAAATAAAAAAATATTAAAACAACGAAATTAACGAAGTTACAACAATATCGCAAGGAAATATATTTAAAATTTTAATTAGCATTAACAATATCGATATGGTCGAAATTGACCTTCAAAGACTAACCGAGGCGAAAATTATGATTTTTTTCGGGTGGAATTATTTCCAATGTAACAGTACGAGTTTTATGGTATTAACACTTTATTGACATATAATCAAATCCTTGTCTCGTCATTTCTTTGTTTACTTGATTTTTTATATTTCTTTTCTTTGTTTCTTCTCTTTTTTTACTTCCAACTGACACATTTACAGCATTCACCGCCGATTTAATTAATAAATCAACCAATCACATCGTTACGATTTACATAAAAAATTTTTTTATTAAACCCATTTTAAAAATTTAATGCTAATATGCGTGGCCTTAGTATTAATGCTACAAATGTTTCTATCGCTAAAACGGTGGATAATGATGACGAGTTTGAAGATGAAATTGATAAATTGTTGAATTTATCGAGAAAATTCATTTTTTATTTTTTTTTTATTTTTTGATATTTAACTATCAACTAATATTAGCAAAAATCACAATTTTGGTCCAAAGAAATTCAAGCCTCATAATTATACAAATAGCAAAGCAGAACCAATATAGGATAATAAATGGGAATAGGATGATATTATTATCAATTGTGATTTAAATAAATGAAAGAAAAATTTTAAGCATGGTTAGATAATTTTTTATTGTTATACTAGATGAGATTCTAGGCATTTGTTCTTCACATAATTACTGGAATTTGCATGAGAAGTAATCCCCTGCCATTATGGAACAGTTGCATTCATTTAAAAATTAAAATGTTCAAAGTGATAATGATGAACCAGTGACCTTTGAATTATTATACCAAGATATGAGCTTTATTATATCTTAACTGTGGTTGTCACTTCCTTCCTCGTTAATACTTACTGGTACCATTAACATATGGGACCTTGCAATCGAAAAGGGGAAAAATAAAAATGAGTTGATGCTAAATCTGAACCTAAAAATCATATTCGGCATATAAAAGTAAAATTGATTATTTCCGGTAGTTTCCCTCCAAAGGTCTCATATTATAATCGTCGAATGATATGAAAATTTTGCTTATAAGGTTCGAAATCTGATTCTGATAATGATCTCGTTTGAATAAAGTGTCATTGACATTCTGAATAATCCAAATATTTAAAACGAGAATTTTCGTTGGATGTTTTTAACATTGAAAGTTATCTTTAATAAAATATTTATTATTTATCAAGTTACGATATTCTTTCTTGGTTAAATTCGCCTTTCGTAATGAATAAAATAATAAATAATACAGGAATAAATTATTGAATTATTTAAGTGTCTCCTCCACAATTGTCTTCAAGAAACAACTTCGACAATGTTAAGATACCTGATATTTTAAACATAATATTCTCGAAATAAGATAATATATTCGTACATTTTTATGTCCTAAGCATTTTGAGATTGATTCGTCCTGTTCCTATTATGTTCTAAGTCTCTGATGACCAAATTGTAATATGCATTAAGGATTACCTGCTTACAATTACTAAATTATAATTTTATTAAAAATAATTAATAGGTCGATTCAAGAATTTATTACTGAATCACACCATTTAATTATATTTAACAACAAAAAAAAATATATTTTTTTTCCGATATTTCTCAATTATATCGATAAGAAAACTCGTATATGTTACAATCATTAAAATAGTACCTTAATTTATGGTTGTAATCATTATAAACTTAGGTCTTCGGGTCTTCAGGTCATAGGGGAAGTTTTGGTTGTAGTAACGTTACATGTTAAAGAAGGCTACTATTCATGTGATATTCTAACTGTTGGTTTTTATTTAAAAATGTTTCCCATTTTACTAATTATTAGCACGTGATACTGAGAAACCGAAAAAACATTTAATATTTAGTATCTTGATTCTGAATAGCGATGATTGTTGTTTCTATTGACAATGAAGTCGATTCAATGTCCATAAGGATGTGATAAAACAAGGTAAAACTTAACTTTTTTATCACAACTTAAAATATGGGAACATGACGCCTCATTAGATATAGTATAACAGTTATATAGTAAATTGCAGATAATTTGTTCTTGATAACAGATGTTGATGGATCCATACTCATACAGACTACCAAGAACAAATCCAGCCGTAACGCCGATGGAAGTAGTTGAAGATGTGAGAGCATTAAAGAACAAGTTTCTTACATATATATTCTTGAAATTAATTCATCGTTATTAGTACAGTTTCGCCACATGAAATTCAGGAATGTTCGTGAGAAATCTTTAATCGGACTCTATGGGTTTTTTAAATTCTTCACCGGTTATAATTAGGAATTATAAGGTGTCTAAAGTCATATTATGAATATGTTTAAAACTTTCCATAAAATAGAGAAAAAAATTAAAGTTTCCATAATAACTAACCACCGATTTAAATGATATCTTATCTCATGATTTTGCAGCCTTTTGATAATAAACCAAATGTTTTAAATTTCCACGATGGTTGAATTCCATAAAAGCTCACACTTCAAAATTATTAAGATAAAGATAAGATATCATCTTATCAAGAATTGTTATTTTCTTGATTAGTAAAGTACAAGCTAAAACTCGATTTATCTCCTAGATAATATTGCCCCTTTTAATATTAAATATCCTCCTAAAATTGAGTTTATGATTATGAGTTTATATAATAATCTAAAAATTTGGATTACTGACCCTTAAATAATGAATTTATATTCCGCATGAAACATCACAAATTTTGTAATTGAAGATAAATTTATTCCATACGTACCATAGCTTTTTATTTGTTTAATACTCAAGCTATCTAAAAATATTTATTCGATTACGAATTTCTAACGTTATTAAACTTTCATTATTCACCACAACAGTGTATTCTTTATTCAACAATATAATCATCATTACCATTCAATACAATATTAAAGTTTATGCATATTGCAAAACTTAATGCTCTTCTAGAGTTTTTAATAGTATTACCATCATCATCACTGTCAGTTTCGCTGTTTAAGTCACCCCTAATACTATTACTACTAGAACTTAAGTAATCTACATCCATACATTCACTGCTAAAAGTTGTTGTTTCTTCATCAGAACTGCTATCATCGCTATCAGACCTTCTCACACTTGGATCTTCGACACCAGTG